ATTATCTGATTGTTGATAATTGAATTATTTCCCATAATAATTGCACAGGTTATTTGTGTGTCTTTAGCTTAAAACCAGATGCTCTTATTTATGATTAAACATATCAATGGTGACAGATCTTACCTTATTCAGATTCTCGTGCAAATAAGTTCCATCCTAGAAAGGTTAACTCAAGAGCAATTCCACAAGAAAGTGATCCTGTAGAAAACATCAGTCTCTTTTGTGGAGAAAAGATGAACTGCCCTAAGGACCCCCATAGCAATATCAACAAATTCACACTTGTTGAAAATATTAATAAACATTTACTGAATCATAACATTGTCAGAAAGACAATGAACGGGGACCTTTAATCAAGAAATGTTCTCATTCGCATTACCATCCTAGATCATTTGTTTGCTAACAGAAATAAATGTGATTATTTAAAATGTAATTATATGGAGATGACATCTGTCTTAACCAACTATACCATCACGTTCTTGTTAGTTATTTCAAAGTGTAGACTTCATCACGTGTCCAGTGGATGTTTTGTGTAACTTTGAAATTAAGTCTAACATTAAAATCAATTGAAAGAAAAGAAAATAAAAGTGATCTTGGAAATTCATTGAATTTTGCGATCTTGTGATCTCCTTGGTCTAGTGGGGAGTTACAGGGAAGAATGAGGAAGCAGCAATTGCTAGCTAAAATGCCACCGTTTCTTCAGCTTCTCTCCTTTCACATTTGATGGTTTTCCTGCGCCTTTCTGGCTCATTCAGAGCCGTTGTTTGTTTTTTTCTCCTAATTTATTCATTTTCTTCCACTCTGACAAAATACTATCGATAACAGTGATATTTCTCATTGTTTTGAGGTCCAATAGTCTGTGTTTTAAATTACAGTCCAGGACTTGAAATCCCTGTGAGACCCCCACCTCATTAACACCGGCAGATAGCTTACTGACTCTGTCCAAGGAATTTTCCCTTCCTCTGTTTTTTTTTTTTTTTTTCTGAATACCACGATCAAATTAACCTTCTAAAAGCATTGTGATTACACTGTAGCATAGGATTCCATCCCGCTTTCAATCAGAAACTCCACAACTCATATCAAATGCCCTTCCAACTTTCTGGCGCACAAGCGTGTTCTCATGTGCCATTTATGACTCAACTTTCAAATACAAATCCTAGCATTAAGTGAGAACAAGGGCTTTGTCATTCCTTCTTTTGCCCGTAATCTTCATAGGTTCCTGGTATAGGTTGCCTTTACTGAACTCTTAGATCACCTGATAAAATCAGTACTGAAATCCAATATGAGCAATAAAATGCAGAAAGTATAGATAGTTTGGCAACTCCAATACAGTGGACAGAATACTGGCTCTTGCTTGCTTCAAAACTTACAGAGTGAGTTCCCGATAGAACATCCACATTGACTCTGTGTGTGGGTGTACCCCTCGTGGTCCTGAGTTCCTTGCTCGTGCTCCCTCTCCTTGTGCTCCTGATTTGGACCTTGAGATTTCTGTCCGGTGCTCCAATGTGGGTCTCCGTCTCTGTCTCATTACATCGCCTGATGAAGGTTAATATTCAGGAGGATGACTATATGTTTGTCTTTGGATTCACCTTCTTATTTAGCTTCTCTAGGCTGGCCTGGGTCTAAAAAAGCATGGGATAAAACCGGACTAGCTGAACATAGCAGACAATGAGGACTACTGAGAACTCAAGAACAATGGCAGTGGGTTTTTGATCCTACTGCACGTACTGGCTTTGTGGGAGTCTAGGCAGTTTGGATGCTCACCTTACTACACCTGGATAGATGTGGGCGGTCCTTGGGCTTACCACAGGACAGGGAACCCTGATTGCTCTTCAAGCTGATGAGGGAGGGGGACTTGATTGGGGGAGGTGGAGGGAAATGGGAGGCGGTGGCGGGGAGGAGGCAGAAATCCTTAAATAAATAAATAAATTTAAAAAAATAATAATAATAAAAAAGAAAAAAATTTACAGAGTGGCCTCCATTTGGGCTAATTCTTGTGACTCAATTTTGTTTTATCCTTTATAATAGTAGATTAGAGTGATTCTAAAAAGGAAATTGGGACTATTTAAATAAATAAAAAACAGATAATATGCCAGTTTTTGCTTCTTTATTTGTTTTGTTTTTCAAGACAGGGTCTCTTTGTGTAATAGTCCTGGCTGTCCTGGAAATCATTTTGAAGACCACCCTGGCCTCGAACTCACAGAGATCCAACAGCCTCTGCCTCCCTCCGGAGTGCTGGGATTAAGGGCATGTTCCACCATGCACAGAACAAGCATCAGTTTTAATTCAAGTCAAATATATACTTATAATGGATTTTATTTCTGTCATAGTGTATTTGACTGGAATGTGTTTTGAAGTATATATCTGTCAATATAAGACTTAAATAATTATTGTTCATGTCATATTTAGATTTACCTAAATGCAATTGGTTTATTAGTTCACTTAATGTGTCACTTAAGGAAATCACTTAATGTCTCAGCATCTGCTGATGTCCATAGTAACTGTAAATAGTTCCATATTAAGACCAAAAATCAGGTACACAAATGTTAAAAAATGGTTGAAAAATTTTGAGCATTTTACAGAACTATAATTTCCAAAGATATACTCACTTTTAATACTTGCGCTTGTCCTAGAGTCAGAGAATGCGGTGGTTATTTATATTGACATATTTCAATGTCATGCCAGTAATTAAATTTGTTTTTCTTTGCGTTACTTTCAAAACGCTTTTTATTCCATTGTAGTAGACATTCTACATTATATTTTTGAGTATTCTACCAAGCTACATGGCTATAATTCTGCAATATACTGTCATTTTTAATCTCCAATTTTACCAACCTTTATTCCAGATTATTCTTTCTCAAACTACCATTTTTTCTCTTTTAATATGAACAAGTGTTTCAGTGCACACTTGTAGCATACATAAATGCATTGAATTAAATATTTGAAAGCATTAAAGAAGATTAGATTTTGTTCCTTATAAGTCGCCAAGGAGGATAGAACTATTTTAAAAATATATGACTAAAACATTCAAGTCCTTATTTCTGTTTTAATTTTGTTAGTATTTATTTCATATATTATCCATTAGCCTTAAATAAATAATTAAAGAAAAGAAAAGTCTTTGAAGCTTTTGGTAGTTCTTCAGAATCAGGTTGTAGAGGAAAACATTAGTGTTTTAGAGTCAGCATGAGCATCAGTAGGATTCAGCTCGAGGCACTTTGTTGTTCTAACATGCACAAGAGCCACACGTTCTTGCATATTCGAGATTTGCTGCAGATGGTATTTCTCTATAAAAACATGGATATTTGTAGGTATCAGATTTTTAAATTAAAAGTACCAGTTTGAAAATGTGTGGTTCACTTGGTCTTACTTCTTTTCAAGCTCCTTTGGCTTCTGAGTAGTGCTTTTCTCATCAGACATCATATTGAATGGTGACGAATGGGACCTGTGTTCCAATCATCAACTTTCTCCTTGCTGCCCTGATCCCTGTCTCTAGGCATTAACTGTACCACATAGGGCGCCTGTTGATAGTGAGTCTTCCACGTTCAGTTATGTTGAGAAAGACGTTTTTGTGAAGTACATTAGCATCTCTGTAAGGCATATTGTGAAGCATGGCTACTGTGTGTATAGTGATGACTCTGAAATAGTCATTAGCAATTCATAGGTGTAGCACAGGTTGTGATATATGACTTAAAATATAATATCCTTAGTCTTTTTATTGTTTCTGCGCATTGCTTTTGAACAGGATTATTTTACAAAGGTTCCAATCAAAGTTTCATGTATATAAAAGTATGTTTGTTTAGATAAACTACTGATAACATGTAAATTGCAAAAATTATCATAAAATTTTCATTCTTCAGGAACAAATATTCAGACTGTAGACAGATTTATGTTCATGTAGATTGTAGATTATGAGCAGCCTAGTCATTAACATTTATTCTATACCAAACGTTTAATTTTAATTATATATTAATTTCATTGTATTTTAAATCATTAAATATTGTATATGTAGCAATTGCAATGTCAATATTATTCTACCCACTATATATGTTTATGCATTTTAGAAGTTTAATGTTAAGCTTCACTTATTTCTACTCTTGCAAGAATATTAAGTAATATTCCTTTATTTATCATACCAGAAAAGTGAGGGCCTGAGTTATTAAGTGGCTAACATAAGGTCACGATGTCAGTAGCACAGTAATTGAGATAAAGGGGCTGTCTCCCAAGACTATGCTCATTATATCTGTGCTACAAAAAGATTTTAAAAATGTGAAAACTTGACTCATGATAAAGTCATGTATTTCAGGAAGATTATTATTTTGAATCTAGCAAAATAAAGCTTAATATCAATTAAATGAGCATTATATAAAATTCTTAGCATTAAGTCTTTTGTATTCAAATTTTACATTTATAATTTTAAGGATATTTGCATATGCTTAATAAGATATCTTTTTTAGGTGTGGTGTCATCAAAATTTCAATTTAGGCAGTACTTCAACTTGAATTTCTGTATTGAAGTTTTAGACAATGAAATATAAGAATATCTTCTCATGTAAACATAATATGTAATCAATGATCTTATGAAGTTATTTAACAGCAGCGTATTTAGTATTTAGAATACCATGAATTTTACAAGTGGTGATAAGTGAGAACATTTATTCTAATGCTAAGAAAACATTTTATTTGTGGAAAATGTTTAAATAAATCCCCCCATAAATCTCTATTTACATTTAGCATTATACTATTTAAATTAATTTGTCCAGTAGAGACAGAATTATTTCACACATGCTTGAGGCTGGGGTATAAACTGGTAATAACTGCATAAGTAATGTCCTTTGGATTGTTTATTCATTTAGTATATGATATTTCTCCTCATTAAAGAAAGTGGGAAACTTGTTTTAGGCACAAAATACAAGACTTATTCAAGAAACTAACATACAAATATCATCTTTGGATAACCTACCCTTTCTTTTCCTTTTTTTTTTTTTTTTTTTTCCTGTTTTGCAGGTGTCTGACTTGGAATAGCCGTGCTTATTTTTGAGGAATTTTTCTTTCTCTTGTTGTGTTTGTTTTTAATCATTGCTATTGGAATACAGAAGAGGAACCAGGAATATACTCATTTGGTTTCCCTTCGGAACACATTCTTGAGGCATTCTCGCCTGAGAACACAGCCATGTGGCCACCACAGCTGCTCATGCTCTTGATGCTGTTCGCACCTGGAGTGCATGGTAAGTGCTCTTGGCTTTGTGTAACCCCGTAGTCCCACTTACTCATAGAAGACCCTTTCTTTGAAGTCTTCTCTTTGGAATGATGTAGCTGTTTTTCACTTTATAGTCACATGAGTAAGAAGCATGCCGTACACTCTGAGCTACCAATTTACAACTTTTCCGTAGGAATTCTTCAAGTCCCCACTGAAATCTGAAGGGAACCTAAAACATTTGTCTACTTTTTCTTTTTGTTTCAAAATAGAGCTCCTACAGATTTTGCTCTTTGATTTACCAAGCTATGAAAAATATTGCCAATTGAATTAACTAATTAGGATAAAGTAAGTTTGCATATTTACTGTAAGAGAAGGAGCATTTGGTAGAAAGTTTCAGTTTGCTTTCCCCTAAAAAAAGTAATCTCTTGCTTTTCAATGGTGTCTATTACTATGTAAAACTAATATGAAAAATGCAAACTATGATTTCTTGCTAGAAACATCTTATTCATATTACACAACTTTTTCAATATAAAGCAAACAAAATGCAAATGTTTGGAGAAAGGTAATTTTATAGAAAATACTAATTAAGCTCATGATCAACTTTCTCCTATTGTTTATATAGACTTCTTGATACTTTTCTCACTATGAGAATTTAAAAAATTTTTATAAATTATGTATTTATTCAGGAAAGCAGCCTCTTGTGCAGCTTTCAATTTAATATTCATTTTAATTTCACTAAAACTAGTAATTTGACATTTCTATGTATGTTCCCTTTCACAGTTTAAAGTTTTCTGCTATCATTGGCTTTACATTAAAATGAAAGTATTAATCTCTCCATAGTCTCATGGTTCTTATAGCAAAGTAAGAGGACACCGCTGTGTGTGTCACTCTGAAATCTAGTGTAGTGAGCCCTGGAATAGATTATCTGTTTCATTAGGTCGCTTCCAGTTTCTGACTGACAGCTTGAAACCCATTGTAACTGCGACAAGTCTCTGAGTCTGGCCAATGTTCCTAACCTGTAGCGTGAAGTTCATTCTGCTGTTAGTGTGAAAACAGGATAAAATAACTTTTGTGGTTTTTTTAAAAGTGTTCCTCTAAAGTTATCACATCTGGTATACTCACTGCTAACAAATCTCTAAGAGATGGAGATAATTTTTTAACTTGAAATTAAAATCTTCAGATAAACACCGTGTTTTAAATCTCGAGGTTTATCGATAATTTAGTTCTGTATGCCTTCTTAATCCTAATCCAGCTCTTACAGTCTTAACATTTTGCAAAATACAATAAGAAAGGAAAAAAAAAACATGATTTTTAAAACATTCCTTTTCTAATTATCCATACACCTAAAGTCATTTAAATTATATCCTTTTACTTAAAAATCAGAACAAAAAATGATTTATTAGATTATTTTGAGGATTAAATAAAATAACATATATAAAGAATCCTATTTCTGTAGAACAAGTCTTAAAACATTAATTTTTTTGTCTGTCCTACAATTTATTTTTTGTTTGAGTAATTATATCAATGTATAATTAATTGACCATGAGAGGTGCTTCACTTAATGTTGGTATTCAGAAAATAATATAAGTATATATATATATTAATATACACAAATTTATGTTCAGAAAGTCACTCTAAACTACTTGCTAGAACAAGGTTGTTTAAAACAATGAAACTGTGATGTATGGAATATCATTATGTCATAGCTGATACCTCAGATTTTCTAAAACATATACCTTGTATGTACCAATTAACCCTAAACATAGACAAGCCCATAAGTATGGGTCTTTCGGGGGCTCCTATAATCTGACTGAACATTTAGGTGCATGAACACACACACACACACACACACACAGATGGAGAAAGAAAGACAGAGAGACAAAGAGAGAGGATAGATGGCAGAGACAGAGAAAGAATAAGTACCCAATACCCTGAGCAGAAAATACCTTTAAAAAGTTGCTAGTATACTTACCTTATGCTAATCCTAAGAGCCAAAGTTATCTTGTCTTATGTTTAGACTACCTAGATCACCTTAATGTTGTTTATTTTTAGCAGCCCAAGTAATATTGAGGTTTTCTAAGGATAAACTTTATCTTTCCGACTTTTCATGTTTTAAAAATTTGAACCATGGAAAACATGAGAGCATTTCCCACCTTCTATAGGAAACCTTTTTAGCCTGTGTGATGCCATTTCTAACTTTGCAGAAAAGAAAGGGCTTTTAGTGACCAGTTTTTGAGGCCCAGATTGCTCATACATAGAGAAGTATACCACTGATTAGAGCTCAGATGGAACAGGATACAAATTATTAGTGTTCTGCCAATCCAGGCTCCACATAATTTGAACCATCAGATGGTAGAACTAAAATTCATGTCACTTAATAAAGCTTTTTTTTCATCCCCCAAAAATTCTTTGATGGTATCTCTTTTGTTCCTATTGATGTTCAGGGAAGCTGTTTTTTAGAAAAATGGAATCCACTTTTCTCAATAGTAACCTGATTGAAGTTCCTCCTTTAGAGCAAATAATTAGTCGTGGAGCCTACCAAACCAAATAATCTTATGTTTATGGCCATAGACGCAGTAAGCATCACAATGAATTATGGCCACAAGCATAAGATTATTTGCTTCAGGTCTTCCTCACAACACTTCCATGGGTTTATTAGCATCACCTGTTATTATCATTACCATTTGTTACAGATAAAAATATAGCAGTGCTGGATGGGAAAGCCCCTTGAATGGTGTTACACAACTATTAACAATGCTCACGGGAATGCTCACAAATAACCTGCTTCATCAGTTTGGGTCTCCCTGCCAGCTGAACCCAATTTCAATCACAACATTCCATATAGCATACGATACCAGCTCCACAATCTTGGAAATTCAGAAGCAAGTGAGGCAGAAGTTTCAATCACCTGCCTGTCTATATTCTGAGAGCAGACTGATTAAGTTCTAAAGTCAGAAAGAAATGTTGAAAAAATCAGCTCTGTCACCAACTAGTTGTTACCCCTCTTGTCAACAAACTACTAGTTAACACTATTTGTCACATAAAGACTTTCCTTGATGCTGAAGATAACAGTGGTGTATGAAAAACTTGTATGAAAGTACCTTAAAAAATATAAAAACCTAGTTTTCATCTGGAAGAAGAAAATTATTACAGCGTTATATATTTAGCAATGGATGAATACTAAACATTTAACTCCTAACATAATGGTTGGATTTCATAAATATTCCGTTATTTCCCTATGATCTATTTACCTTGAAGTAAATCTAAACTTCTAAGTAGTAGACAAGCAAAGTACAGAATTATCCTTGCCCTTAACCCAAGTCTCGAAAAAACAAACATACACACAAACAATAACAAAACTATTTGAACCTCATGATTCAAGGTTTGTAGATATTTATAAATACATTTACACAAAACTGGTATCGGCATTGTTATCATCCAGATAAAAGTATTACAACTCCTCAGAGATACTTAAATCACTTCTTGGATTGGCAACCAATTGTCTAGTGATGGATCCTTATGCAATCCAAGCATAGATAAAATTAGGAAATAAGCTAAAGGAACTAATCCTATAATGTTGATATGAGGTGAATAATCCTCACGTTGCCCCCACATTGTCTGACCAGTGTTTCCCTTGGGAGACAAAAAATAATCAGGGCATGCACATTATACACGTTTGTATATTTGAGGTTTTAAATAGGAAGTGTCTCTGGTTCTATGTTTATCTGTCCACAGTCTGTGTCTCTGTGCACCTCTGTATTCCTCCTTTTCTGTTTTTCATGACTGTCCCTTCCTCCGGAACTATAGGATCTGTATCTGTCATGAGGCCAGTCTGGAGAAGTTGGAAATGATGTTCAGTACATGGCTTTACTAGGGTTGTACCCAAATCAACCGATTTTAGGTCATTTTAGAGATGTGGTTCGGAGAAATGATAGGAAAGCCAGAGAATTAAAACTAGTGGTGATTTGTGTGGCGGGAGCTTTTTCGAGGTGAGAATAAATAAACCAGGGCATTGAGCAGAACTTATCAAGTCTACATCTTCAGCTTTGTGGCAGCTCCGCAGATCTTTACAATGTGCTTTTAGGTAGAGTTTCTATGAGCTGCCCGGGAATTTGTGGTTCTCCCAGTAACTTAAATTACAAGATCGCAGCACTACCCCTAGCTCCTGGTACTCCTGACTGATAGTAAAAGGACTTCAAAGTCTAATTTGGGACCTTAAAGTAGATCTATTCCTGCTCTGTAGCTACTTGCAAGTGCCAAAGGTTTGTGAGGCACAATTAATGAAAACCCAGAGATAGAAATTGGGGTTCAACCTGAAGATCCGAAAAGCAAAGCAGTCAGCCACTGGCCCTTACCTCGACCTCAGTCCGAAAATGGCGATCCTGCTTCCAGGGATCTCAGAATGAGACTGAGTATGAGAGCTTTGTGTCCTAAAACCTTCTCTAGTTCTGGGATTACAGGCGTGCACCACTGGGATTAAAGGTGTGTGTTATTGTGGCCTGGTCCGTAAGGCTGGCCATTGTGACTGTTTTGCTCTCTGAACTTCAGGCAGGCTCTATTTATTAAAATACAATTGAAATACCACTACAGATTTGCGGTTTGAAAAGGTGACCATGGTGCTGCGATATTTTAACTACTCAATTTAATCAGACTTTCCTTATAGTTATACTGAATCACAAACAAGAAGCCGGAAAGTGTGCTCAAGCAACAAACCGTATGGACAGGAAATCATGATTTTATAGCATCTTCAAAGAAAGAGAAAAGGGACTTAAAAACTTTAGGAGTACTTTATGCATGTTTTTCACTGCAAGTCACTTTGTTATTGTTACAAATAAATCTCGGTTAATATGTTACATTATATCTAAGTTAATTATAATGGACAGTTCTTAATAACAGCCAAAGATGGATCGCCTGTGTCTTATTTATGTTCTTCTATATTTTATTTTATTTCTATAAAATAATTTTTATAGTTGTATTCTACTTCATACTATAGTGTTTTTACTAATCTATACATTTTAAATTGCTAAA